TTGTGATACAAATTTAAAGTTTCCAGAGGTGCAAACAGCCAGACATCAGGAGGAATTTCAGTAAATCTGTTCTTTGAAAGATCTAGAAGCAAATAGAAAAAAAAATTCCTTTTTTAGTCAAGACTTTCCCTGCAGTAAGGGAAGATAAAAGTACCCAATGTTATTCTTGTCATGCTCCTAAAAATTTAGGTGTTGCAAGAAGTGCAAAATAATTCAGTTTTACCAGCTGCTACCGCATATAATTAATACACAAAAATGTCTTAAAATACTGAAAGATTATTGTTCAATATGCAATTACAACAGAAAGTAGAAGAGTGACAGGAATTCAAAAATACATTTCCTACTACATAGTTATGGTTGCAATGACACTGAATATCAATTATGACTGTCCCTCCTCTATCGAGTCTTTGTTCTGTGCAATTCTTGGGTTTCCTCCCCCCCAGCTCTAGGCAGAACAGTAAATCAAGGTACAAACCTAACGTTATTTCTCCTGTTTGACAGCTACATTAGAATCCAATGTCATTGTACAATGTATCTGCAATGCTAAAGCCAAGTTTCCAAAACACTCTTACACAGTAACCGACCTTCTCCAGCTACACATTTGTAACTTAACTAAAAAGAGGATAAAGTTGCAAAAACCAATGGTGCAGGTATTTATCTATAAAAGTGAAGAGGTGATGTAGCCTGGCCTAAAAGCAGAAAGAGGAGATATCTTTGAAACAGAATTCTTGAGCTAGACTTATTCTGACAATGCATGGCTGCATTATGCAAATCTGCATGCAAGGGTTATGACAAGACAGAGCATTACCAAAATGCACAGCACCTCTGATTGCATGAAACCTTGAAAAGAACCAGAAAACACAAATGAAACGTGACCCAGGAATTCTGGAGATTGCCAGCTAAACTAACAAAAGCTGTACCATCAGAAGTCTACCAAACTACCCCGAAAGAAAGAGATATTTACTTGAGAAAACTGTCTACTCTTCTGAAAGGAACTCTGGTTGCCAAGCCAGGACATTTCAAAAGGATGTGGTTTCTCAGAAATGCTGAACAAACTCTTCTAACAGAGAAGTAATACAGATCCCTTTCTATTTCAGGCTTTAGTTCTCAGTTTTTAACACTCACATGGAATAACTGTTTCTGCTTAGCTCTCATCACATTATCACTGGAAACAGTTCTACAAAAAAACCCTTTTAGAAAAGGGTTGGAAAATTGGCTCCAAGTCATTGTCAGGTTCAAAGAGAGCTCAACAACCTGAAGTTTAACTGGCAAACCAGCTATGAGCAGCATTTCTCAGGGCCAACACTGGAATCAGTATTGCTTAGCTTCTTCATCAGCAGCCTGGCAAACAGGACAGAATGTGCCTTCAGGAAATGCAGACAGCACCCAGCTGGAGGCATGGATGAGAGCCAGGCCCTCACCTGGCAGACACCCAGCGTGAATAAAGGCTCACCTGTGGCAGATCCCTGCTCACACCAGCACGAGCTGCAGCACAGAAGGGTGCAGGAAAGCTGTGCAGAGAACACCCTGAGATGCTGCCAAACAACAGGCTGAATGCAGGACACCAGGGTGCTGAGCAGAGGGAATGGCCTCCACAGTGCAGGTGACCAGCAAACAAAATGGACTGGTACAATGAAACACCATCTTCCTGTGGAGTTATTTTTGGCAGGAGCTTTAACTTTACTTCTTGAAGTCTAGAATATGTGAAATTTTGTGTGCTATCTGGCTGTTACTCCATTATTTCTAAAAAACATTCTCAAGTTAAGTATCACAAACTCTTCCTATAAATCAGGGTATCCACTGCTGATGCAGAATTCTGCAAACTCTACCTGCAAGAGGCAGAAAAATATGTTCCTGGGTTGAAGGAGTGGCATTCCTAATCAACTGTGAGAAAAATGGAATAAAGTTCACTAAAACTGAACATCACTCCAAAACCTAAAAAGCTTATTAAAAAAATTAGCATGCTTGAGAAAGTTTTCACAACCAGTGAAGTTCGTTTTTGGTTTTCCACTACATCAGTTTTCAAAATGTTACAGAAAAATGACAGCTTTCAGATGAAAGTTTTCTGCAAAACCCTTCCTAAACAAATGCTCTCTTGTTTTAACATTCAGCAGAGTGTGACACCTGCGTGCAGAAGAGATGCCCACAGTTTTATTGCTAGCCCAGTTCTACAACCTCCACCACATGCTGAACTCTTGGACACAGCCCCATTCTGAAAAAGACCCCCAGCTTTAAGCCTCTTCCTGACCTGGCTTTATCAGCAGCTGGAAAGGTGACTGAAGGCTGGTATAAAGACCTAGTGTACAAAACAAATTACAAAATCCCACCCTACAGCCACTGGTCCCAGGAGCAGCACTGTAGGTTAGACCTGAACAAGAAAGCTCAATGGCACCATGAAAATTTTGCTTCCAGCCACACCTCAACCACAAACCTTGGAAAGTTTAAGGTTAAAAAACAGCTGTGCTATTCCTTCTGCAGAACTAAAATCTAGAGGCAGGCCAGACAACAAGCAGAGGATGCACCAACCCTCCCTCCACAGGGAACATAAACCAGTCATGTTTCCAGCCTGGCCAGGCACAAATCACATCAGCACAGTCTGGCTGGAGCCCCTCAGTGTGCCCTGGTACAGAACCCATACAGTTACACAACAAAATCCATACCAAGGTCACTTTATTTGTGTATTATTGTAGAAACCACTTCTCTGGAGACAATGCCTGTGAAGACACTGCAGGGCAAGGATTACACCTTTTTATTATGAAACCCAGAAATCCTATTAGAATAGGAAATGACACCTGCTATCTCTCTACAATAAAATAAAAAAAAAAAAAAGATAAAGAGGTAGGAGATAGCACAACTTCTATTCCAAGCAATTTTTGCTTGCAAAACAGCATTAGAATAGCTCCAGGGGTTGGTTCAGATTTTTATGTAGAGAAAGATTAGAGTATCTATAATATTCCATAATATTCTCATACTGAATGTACTTGCAGTTTTTTAAAATCAAGTAAAACTATTTTTATCCAAACTAAAGAACAATTTCTACTCCAAAACATTTTCATAACAAGCAAGAAGTTTATGAGATAGTATTGCCTATTGTGGTAAATAAAATGTAGATGTGAAACTTAGGTAATTTAGGTACTTTCTGAAGACTAATAATACAACAGATGACCAAGAAAACACAGTCTGAAAAAGAAATAGAGTGCTCCTCCATAAACAAGACAGCTTCTATCTCACTTGAAATGAAAGCAGGCTGCTAGCACTTGAGAATGGCTTTGTAAGGGTTAATACACTGGAGAAGCAAGGAAAGCTGCTAAATGCAGAACCACAGATGATTTAGGTTGACAACTCCTCTAGGAGTGAGAATACAGGAATCCTTTCCTTAACTAGCTCAGATTGGAAAACTCTTGGTGGGAGTGTTATGTGAAGACTGAACAGAAGACACTACCCATGCCTGCTCATGAATCACAGGGCATTTCAATACACTGCATCTGCAGGAACAATGAAAGTGAGAAGCACACCATTACTAAGGTTAAATCTGAAAGAGGAACTAGAAAAATATGAAGAAGTTGGTTTTCCTTTAGTTTTCTTGACAGAAAAAGTAAAGCCTTTATTTACTGTAAGACAGCGATTAAAAAACAATATATAGAAAGATCTAAAGGAAAGAATTTTAGGAAATCAGTCTTGAAAAGAAGCTACAAAAAGTGAGAATTTATCTTGTATAAATTTAAGCCACGATTAAGAGGGAAAACAAAAAACTCAAACAGTCAGATTACAGCAGTGTGCAGCCAGGTATTTCAGTAGTATTAACATCACATTTGCCTTGGTTTTGCACTTTTCCCTAAGCAGCATTGCTTACCATCAGGAACATGATGATACAATGGACTGGCCTTTTATGTAAACCAGTACAATCATTTTATATTCACATATTACATACACTACATGTTGAACTTGAAATGCAAGGCTCAGCTACGAAATTTACACTGAACCTCATCTTGGTATTATATTTTTCATAAAAATATGTTGCTGATCCAGAATATTGGTGTTAGGCTTTTGTCTGCTCCAAAACGGTATTAAGAAACTAAATCATAAAAACCCCACATTCCTCACTCCCCAAAACCCAGAACTGCTCTCCCAGCTCATCGCACACAGATTTTCCTAGCCAGCTTTTCTAGTAATGCTTTAGCCTAAGCCAACCAAAGCCTAAGAACTGTTGTAGCTGTAAAATTAGTCCTTCAGAAGAGAACAGATGCTTAAAAACAAGTGTTAAGACCTGATCCCAAAAATACTCTTTTAGTCAATCTAAACATAAATTACCACACAGAACATGGGTAAAACTCATTTGTCTGTCAGATGCAAGATGATTCTGGAGAAGGAAAAAGTAGCTTCAAACACTACAGAAACACCTGCACGTGGTACCCCAGGAAGCACAAGCTGTCAATGTCCACAAACCACTGACTAAAGAAAGTTATGTTACACAGACAATGAAACTGGTTTGTTCATGCTAAGTGCAATTTCTGTGGTTAGTCACAACAGGCACATCTCTTCCTGCCCTGATTAGTTTCTCAACAAATTGGAGAAGGAGCCTCAGGAGAAAGGAACTCTAAAGCTTCCCAAGGTCACCTCAAATGGGATGTTATCCCTCCACCATTTCCTTCAAACTCTACACATCTACTTCTAGTTTCAGTTCCAATCTTAATGCATGAGTAGTGCTGTTACACAGAAATGTTTAAAAATATTCCCTTCAAAGGAAAAACAAACCTGGATAATTAAATAATAAATACCAGAATTCTTCAGACTTACTTATGTTGCAAAATGAAGTACTGAACAATTAAAATACATCCAGACACAGAGTGATTTCTCATACTGATATAAACAGCAACCATTTCACTTGCAAAGGAGACCAAAAATTTCGAATTTACTGTCACAGAATGTCCAAGAATTACAGCACCATAAATCCATGTAACTGTGAATTTCACATACAAATCAACATTTGCTCTCCAACATTAAGAGCAATGGTGAAGAACAACACAGAACAAATTGAGCACCCATCAGCTCTCAGCTCAGGAAGCTGAGAATACCTCCAAAACCCTTTAGCTCTCAGGAAACTAAGCTGACCACAAATTGTCAAGGAAAGCTGTGTACATTTGAAGTCTATTCTTAAAAAGCTTATGTAGCAATATTTAACTTGATTTTTATCTATTGTGTATACTCAAGTCAAGTAGAAGCAGTCTGCCTTCTGTTCAGAAGAAAGAAAAAATACTCCCAGGACTAGAGGTGGCTACAAGCAGCTTTTACTTTTCTTCACCTGGGCTTTCTACAGCATGGAATAGCTTCTGGTTTTGTGAAAAGCTATTACAAACAGATATCAAAGTGGGATTTGGATTCTAAATCCAACAACTGAAGAAATAGGAAATCGCTGCTTCATGGTTATCCCCAGTCCTAAGTTTAGCTACAAACTTTACTTGTGCAATTAAAAGGAGAAACAAAGAAACTACACAACCATGTAATTGAGGTTTCTCATCAAGTACAGAGGAAGGGTAGTATAGGCAATCAGAAATTCCATCTGACAGGTTCTGAGTTCTTGGTTTTTCCTGCTAATTAGCACTTCTAAATAAAAATAAAATAATTTAAAAAATATATACTTTTACTACTTGGGAGACTTCAATAAAAAATAAAACATCCTGTCAGACTGAACCACAGTTCTTCCACATGAAATAAATGTTTCTGTAACTGGAACATACCAATGGCTGTCTCTCACACTTCTGCTACCAGGGAGAAAAAAGTGAGATCCAGCACACTGGCTCAGAAATCAAAGCAGCCTTAAGGAACCCACTATTCCAGCCCACTGTCACTAAGCCCAGTCTCCCAGTCTACACTGGGACCTACACTAAACATGTCTAAATTGGCAGTTTGACTCAAGCAATTCTTGTTTTTCATGTAAGCTGCCTCTGCTCATCACATGTTGACTCAAGTATGTGAGGTTTTTCCTGAAATCTCTACCAGCAGAAAACTAAACCAGCAGCTCTGTCTAAAGGCTGGAACAACTGGGGAGAATGCTGGTGCTGGTCTGCAGTGTTGTCCACACAAATCAGATTTGTTACTCGAGTTGCAACAAGCCAATAATTACACACTTGAGAGAGGCACTGATTATTTATTTCAGAGTTGGGCAAGCCTGGGTGCTATGGGGTATTCCACAAGTCAAGCACACCAATTATCAAAACTTCTTACTACTATATACATTATACCAAAGAAAGGAATTAGTGGTCATTTGCTACACAGTTCTCTTAACAATCAGTATTCTATCTTGTATCAGCTAATGACCTCTCCTGCTTCTCACACTGATTAGCCCATGTGCCCAGTCTCTCCTCCTTTGGGTCAGTGGGTTTCTTGGGTTGGTGGTCCATCAGTCACTGTTGTGACCTCCCCCTGCCAGAATTATCTTTTCTCCACTCAGAACTGGTTCAGCAGAGATGCTGAGTTGGATTTACAGGCTTCATTCTTATCTCAGGAGTTGTGCCAACCGTGCTTGTGGCGTGTAAATTCTGCACTCCCTGTGCCCCCATCAGTGTTACATCTTTATTCCCAAGCCTTGTTAAGCACCCCCCACATCTGAGATCACTGAAGCCTGTCAAGCCCTAAATCTTCACAAGGCAATTTTTAAGCCAGTAATCTGTGGGGTTTTTTAACACCCGGACATCACTCAGGTTTTACCTGTTAGTCGCTATTTCACGGATTAAATTTCCCTCCTTGCCAAGCAGGCTTGAAAGTACACAAAGATCAAAGAACATCCTTTCTCAAGAAAATTTTACATATTCCACGTTTTGCAACATGAGGACGAACTCAACAGATGAATTCAGGGAATTCTTCATCATGTTGCAACATTAGAAAGATCTAGACATTTCCAACACAAGTTAACACAGTGCTCCAACTCTGAAGTGTGTTCAGCTATTTTAGCACAGTATGATTTAAATGGAAAATAAAGAACACATCACCAGGATCACTCCTCAGTCTGGCACATGAAGGTGCAAATTCCATACCATGTCAAAAGGACATAATCCATTACTTTATGTCAAGGATTATCTTCCTCTCCATTACTGAAGGTGTCTTGGTTCTGCAATCTTTCAGAGTTTGAACTGGTAAGTAGAAAATCCCACTGGAAGTCTTTTTTGTTTTGGGCACTTCAGTATTTAGTCTAGAGTATAATTTCTTAAATGCTTTACCAGCAGAAAAAGTGAAATGTATTTTCTCGACAAGTCAGCAAGACTTAAGCTGGCATATTATAGACAAGGCATCTTCCTCCCACTTAAACTCACTATCACTTATTGGTTTAATTCTGACAATTCCTGTTATGCTTTGAAATTCTTTAATTCCAAATTTCTGTTTCACAGACAAGTAATATAAGGGAAAGTAATCCTCATTTGGCAATGAAGCAAAGCCTGGGTTTGTTAAGGAATACTTCAAATATACACAAAATTCCCAAGACTTACACCAGCCTCTGTATGCTCAGCAACACACATCCAAGCCTTTGTCCTGACGAGTTTACAATCTAAACAGACACGAGACAAGCTATTACCAATCTGCAGTAATCAGTGTTTACTACACAACTTATCTTTTGTGCAGATAAAATGGCTTGTCACTGGATAAACTAAGCAGAAACAATTTCTAAGTTAGCTAAACTGCTGGAAGACAAAGAACATTGGAGAACAAGACAACTGCACTAAAATAAAAGAAGAAACTGGGCAGCCCATGGGCTCTGAGTGAACAGGGTCTAGCAACAATTCCAGCATGTTCTCCTGAGACCTGGAGGCCCCTGCTGCAGCAACTCCAGCATCTGCTCTCACTGGCTGGTGCCTCCTGCTGACTCTGTCCTACTCATGCCAGACCTCATGGCAGCATTTAAGAACAGCCACAGCCTCCTCTATTAGCTTAAAGATAATTCTCTAATATCTCTCATTACTGCATGTACCAACTTGAAGCATTCTCAGAAACCTTTCAGTTCTAGGTCACTCTTCAACAGATGAAGTTCTCATCACACATCCTGCTTTCACCTGTGGGAACGGTGCTCAAGTGACAAATGGCAGGAGTGCTCGGTTTAATACCCAGATGGTCGGGGATTTGCTCCCTGTGCAGCTACACCTGCTGCTCAGCTGCCAGGGAGCTGGGGCTCAGGGCTCCTTCAAGCCTTTTAACTACACAAACCTTGCTTCAGAAGTCATACTTTGACATTTGGAAACACATTTGTGACAACCACGTCTGCCAAGCACAGAACTATTTTAGTTCTATACCAGAGAATAAGACTTTCTTTTTTATTTTCACCTGAAGTGTGTGACCTCCTCCAGACCTGTCAGCACATTCTCCTAGCAAGTGGCAAACCATCCCAGGCTGGAAGAACGATGAAGATCAGACTGTTGGACAGCCACAGAACAGCAGAGAACTCAGAAGCCTCTTCCCACTGTCATTCTTTTATCACAAAAAAGTATCAAATAAATTCACATCTTCCAGCCTTCAGGAACTCCAGCCTTCAGCCCTGATCTAGTTACCTTTTTGCTAAGGACAGATTTCAGCACTAAATGCCAGCCTTGCCGGGAATATGAGTATGTACTTTTGAATCAGCTCCAACCAAGCAGCACAACTTAAATGTGAAAATACACATCACAAAAAAAAGTATCTCAAAAAGCAAAAACTACTCCAATTTTCTTTACTGCACAAGGTTTTGCAATACAATTCACAATCTATTTTCCCCCTCTGCAAATAATCAGTAAGAAGTAGAAACACATATTTAAAAAAGCTCCTGAGTTGATCAAACACAGAAATACTAAAGATGTTAGATGATGGATATTACAAAACATAAAAATCGCCAATGGTAAATCTAATTTGATGGATGGAGATGACAAAGAGTCAAAAAATGTCAAAAAAGTACACATTGCACATTTTTTGTGGGTCAGTATTTCAGATAAGGCTGTAACACTAAATTTATTGGGTTTTTTAAATTTTAAGATACAAGTGGCACCCTTTTAGGCAGCCATATAGTAATGATCAGCTCCTTTAACTTCAAGTCATTGAACTGAACTTGCTCACCACACCAAGTCCCCTTAACAAGGTTCCTTTAATAGCGCCTTCAGCAAGAAAGCCTCGAGCACACACAGTTCATTTCCGCCCTGCCCAAACACTGGCCGGGCTGTGAGAACACTGCCAAAAACTTCCCTAACTGTTTAGAAACTGCGTCATTTGCAGATTTTGCATCAGATGCGTTTCAGAGCACAAACACTGGCCTCTCTCCCCCAAAACCCATAGAATCCGAGTTCCTCTTTCTGTTCAAATCTGAAGGAAATGCAGCTGAAGAACCACATTTTGCAGTGTGCTTGATTTCCAAAATGTAATTGAGATTTAGGATATTTTCATATATGAATGCCAATTTTTTTAGCTGAATACTGGATTTGTTGTTGCTCTTCAGTTATTGCCGTCCCCAATTTACTCAACATTGGCTCCACAACAGAAATAATTTTATTCAGAAAGGAAAATATAATTGGTTTAGAAGTGCATACTGTAGAGGCAGAGCTGCATTATAAATTAACATTCTTATGCATTTCACACTCAATATTAAGCCCTGGGGCTTTAATCTGCAATCACGTGAATGACAATATACCTTAGAATGACAAAAAAAAAGTGACAGACACTCGAGTAACAGTGACAATGGTCTCTAACAATGCCATGCCAAGACTGGCAGTGGCCACAACAGGAGGGCTCACTCTCAAGTCATACTGGAATACACTCATGTTACTCCTCCATGCTATGAGGAGGGAGAAAGGAGGAATTTCAACATTCTTCTATTTACAGGCAATCATTCACCTACTTATAACTGCCTGGGAGTTCCCCCAGAATTAAACAGTGGGATTTGAAACTGTTATGACAAAACCATAAACAAATAAGCCTGATAGCACCACTGGAGCTGTTGGTCACACACCTTTTGTATTTATTAAATTCATTTTTTTAAAGCGCTTACTAAAAAGGGAGCAAAATGCTAAAGGCACAGGTTGACTTAGGTTCCTGTCTTATATTGTCAGACTGAACTATCTTTAATAAAATAAAACAGCAAACAC